CATTAATATTATACATGTAATGCATCGTCGAAGACATAGTTACACAGAAAGCAAGGCCAACCAGTAGATTGACATCCAGATGTGTTCTCAACTAATGCCTTAGCTACAGTTTACACAATCCACCTGAAAAACGACGATTGCTTCTGCCTTCGGTTGCTATTGATAAATATACCTGGTTCAGTTTCATTTGAGTCATTGTGTGCTGTGAAACGTATGGTGTGTGCAACTTTTTGAGAAGCATGCCAGCAATTAGAATTGCTGGGACATGATAATCACTGGAATCAAACGATGGACGATACGATAGCTACTTCAAATATCCCGAGTTTTCACACTTTTCGCGATGATTTTTCGACAAATCAGCCTTCAAATCCACGTCAATTATGGGATACGAACAAAAATTACACTGCCAAAGACACTTTACATCGTATTCGATAATAATTGGAAATGGGCAAACTCCGATTGTTTCGCAATCTTCATGCGAAAAAATTTTGTAATGGAACCCTACTTATTGTGCCGCAGCTATCAAATAGAAGGGGCAGAATGCTTGATTCTACGAATTCCTTTGAGTTCCAACGATTTGCCATTTCAGTGCAAACCTATTCAGTTTTCAGAGAAAATTGCATTTGAGATGAAAATCAACATAAGACAAGGATTGTCGGTAGAATTGCGTGGCATAAATCTGGAAATGCCATGTTTTTCACGTGACCAGAGATATGTATGTACTATATGAGGCGTGTTTACGAGTTGGAAAACCATCTTCTCTGTACATTTACGCACTTGAATAGAAAAAATTAAAAAATATTCAATATAAATTCAGCTTTCTTTTCATTTCCAAACACATAATATCACGCAGGACAACGCCTGCGGGGTCAGCTTGTTAGTAATATGCAGTACAAAGTCACCCGGAAATTCGAAAATCTTTATATTTAGTATACGGGGGCTAAAGGAAGTATTGGTTCGATTCAACTTATTTTTGACATACAAACATACATACATACCATTATAACAGAATGATTATCCTTTTATTTAAGTTCTATATATTACACAAAAACCGATATTTTCGATCAAAAGATAACTATAGCAACGGGGGTCTAAGTAATCAGTACCTATTGGCTTGTTTTATTTAAAACATTTTTGATCATAACGTGACACACACTAATGACATTGTTCGTACAAAGTTTTATCCGTTATATTAACTGCTTCTTGATTTATGTACTGGAAACTGAACGAATCTAGTGGAATTTAAAATCGTGATATATGGGAAGTACTCGTGGTTATTATTCGATTTCGTCCATTTCTACAATGTGACATAAGAATGTAAGAAGAATTGTTATATGTACTAAATTTCGCAAACCGGCCCCCATAGAGCTATCTCATACCATCTCGGTAGTTAAATTTGATGTCGCTGGCGTATTTAGTTATTGATTTATCATGCTTTTAGGAGTTTTTATATCCCCATTTCTTATAAGATTCGTACTCAGCAAAATTGTAACTTAAAGGGTTTAGGAGATATATACATTAAACTTGTTAACGAGCGGAGCCACTCCCACTTAAAAAAAAAAAAATTTCCCACATGGGCCCATTGCTACCGCGATCCTCTGTACCAAATGAGAGTTTTATATCTTAGTTTAGGGCACTTTATGTGTTTTCTGTTAATGGCGATTTGTGGGCGTGGCAGTAGTTCGATTACGCCCATTTACGAACTCGAAACTTTTTTGTGCTAAGGAACCCACATACCAAGTTCCATATCTAAATTTTTCCTCAAGTTACAGCTTGCACTGATGAACGAGGAGACAGACAGTCATTCGGATTTCAAATTTTCTCGTCATCGTGATCATTTATATCGGGTGATTTTTTTGAGGTTAGGATTTTCATGCATTAGTATTTGACAGATCACGTGGGATATCAGACATGGTGTCAAAGAGAAAGAT